CAAACCCCACACCAAAAATAGTGCCGACACTTATCTAATCTAAAAATAAGATTAGTTGGTTAGTTCAAATGGAACAATAAATCTTATCCTTGTAATAAATCTTGTTATCGTTTCCTATATAAAATAGAGATTCATGAGTTTTTAATTATTGTTGGTATTATTAAAAGCAACAAAATTATATCTAAATTTTCCCTACTACAACTAGCCCTTTTTTCTTGCTATCCAATACCTTTTTTGGAATATCTTCATAATCTTGGAATGATTCACGAAGCAAGACAAGTATATCACCCAATGATGTGAGATTCAATTAATATAGCCGGTCCAACATCTTCCTAATCATTCTATGTTCCATTCGTGCAGGCAGGTGTGAAGCGAGATCGCGTTCCGAAGGTGAGAAATCCCGTGTAAGCATCAACCAACAACTCTTCCTGGACCGAACCGGTTCAGGTTCTTTCCGGTCCATGTTCTTTCCCATGTGCCACTCCTAATTATTCTCTTAGTATATATTTATTTTCGTATGATTCTAGGGTTAGTTTTTTCGTGTATTTTGTATCAGGATAGTGGTCGACGCCTCTTCTTCTTTTCGAGGGTTGTATTTGAGGGATTGAGTAGTAATCTAGTTGTAACTCTCTCCCAAAGTGAGGATTATCTTCCCTTATCCGCTTCTGAATCCTCCCACACTGCTCCCGACCGCCCCTTGTTGCAGCCACTTGGAACAGCTTCTTTTGGTAGTTTTCTACAATTCTTGGATTACAGCCCCCATTCCCCGCCTCGCTGCCATCCAGCACAGCAACCTCTATCCTTTCCCCAACCTTCTCACATCACTCTGAGTCACCAACCCTCGTTGTTGCCATTTAGAAAAAAAACAAATATGTTGTTTTCATGTTGTTGAACCATCATTCTAACTTGTTGCCACCTAGATTGTAGTCTATCCCACTGTCACTGTAGTTCCCGCTTGCTACCCCCGCACCAAACAACACTCCTCTTATTGTTCTAAAGTCCACGACCCTTCTCCTTCCCTACCTCTCACAATCCCAACCCTCTAAACCACTGTCACTGTAATTCCAACCCCTCATTTTGTTGTCCCAACCACTAACAACTCATTTCAGCCACCAACCTCCGCTCTCCAACCACTTAACCGACCTCCACCACCCCAAGATCAAGCCCTAATCCTAATGTGAGTTTTTGTCATGTTTGTTATAATTTCACATTCAAGTTTGTTTATTGTAACTGTCTATTTGCTTTCAATAATAATATGTCTTTCTTATTATGATTTAAGTTGACTCTGATATCATTTAGTATCATAACTAACCTAAGCATAGTCCATCCTAGGGTTTCTAGCATCCACATGTACCTAACGTCATCCCCATCAAAAACTTTTCTTTCCCACCCTACATCAGCCACACATATTCTTCCACCGACCCAAACCAAAATCCTAATCATGCCACCAAGGAGATAATTGCTAAAAATCTGATATAGGGTGGGAAAGATGATTCACGAAGCAAGACAAGTATATCACCCAATGATGTGAGATTCAATTAATATAGTCGGTCCAACATCTTCCTAATCATTCTATGTTCCATTCGTGCCTGCAGGTGTGAAGCGAGATCGCGTTCCGAATGTGAGAAATCCCGTGTAAGCATCAACCAACAACTCTTCCTGGACCGAACCGGTTCAGGTTCTTTCCGGTCCATGTTCTTTCCCATGTGCCACTCCTAATTATTCTCTTAGTATATATTTATTTCCGTATGATTCTAGGGTTAGTTTTTTCGTGTATTTTGTATCAGGATAGTGGGACATGATGTCGTTAATGAGAAATTTACAAAGGTTTCCAAAAGAATTATATGGAGGATATATAGTGGGAAAACCTCCAACTTCAACAGAGGCTTTGACGCCTTCGTGAGGAATCATCGGGTGGGGTCACATAAATTCCATTTGATCCCCGAGATGAAGAACAACTACTTCAAAGATTTGAAGTGTGATATTGAAGAAGCCAAGATTTTGAAGTAGAGGTTGATTTGGACCTTGGAATGTATTTTTGAGTGTCAAGATATCTCACCGAACGGAATGGTGAAACTAGCTCCACAAAGTTAAGGAAAAGTGCATCTCAGTGGTGGGTGAACTTAAAGATTCATCGACAATGAGAAGAAAAACGTAAAATTACTATATGTTCGATAAGAAAAGAGATTATAGGCAGACTATTTGCACAAGGCTACACTAGTTACAACATTATCATCGGATGGTTGTCACATCTTACAAGCAGAGTTCAACCCCAGGATCAAGCAATGGGAGTACACCCCAGGATCAAGCAAATAGCGTACACCCCAGGATCAAGCAATGGGAGTGCACCCCAGGATCAAGTAAGATCACCGGACATCTTACAAGCAGAGTTAAACCTCATAATCAAGTAATAGGAGTACACCCAACAAAACATCCAAGCCGAACCTGCCTAAGGAGAAAATAATTCAAAGAGGAGAAAAGGTGGAACCAATCCACATTCTCAAACCTGTCCCAGCTCAGAAATATTTTAAGTGCTACAAATTTAGGCATATTATATCAAATTGCACAGCCAGAAGAATGATCAATTTCACTGAGCATGGGACTATTAAAGAAAAGGACAATAACACAGTAAACATTGAAGAATGTGAGGGCACAGACTATGAACATTGAATCCCAACTGATGAGGGAGAAAAGAAGCTGAGCACATGAGAGATACTCGAACAAAATTAACAGTGGTTGTCCAAGATGGACTTGAGTTCGAGGAATCGATGCTGGAGGTATGGCATGGCAGCCCCAAATAAAAGAAAATCAGACTTTTAGATATATAAACTCCTAGAGTTTCCCTTATTGATGGAAGCCCGACATATCAAACATGAGCTTTTGAGCTACTTCTGAAAAAAAAAATTTATGGAGTTGCTCAAACATTAGATTCAATTCAACAGTGCACCCTCCAACAGATGGCAATACAGAAAGGATGAAACATAACTTTGGAAATTATCTTAGGAGCTTGGCGGGAAAGATAATTCTTCAATGAGATCCAGGATCTACCAAATAAGAAGAGGTCTCTCCTGAGTAGTTATTAGTGAAAGTGGCTCAGCCTACCACAAATTTCTTCTCAGAGTTGATTTCTTCTGACTATATTATTTGTAAGGTACATTCAGTCGAGTACGAGAAGAGGAAGAAACAAATTAGGAATTTAATGGCAAGAGAATTATTTTATAAGAATCTACATCTATATATAGCTCCAGCTCAAGTTGTGCCAACGGATGATCGATACTTATTATATCAAGATGTGCTTTAGAAAAACAATGCCTAAAAAATTGACTTATCGAGAAGTTAGAAAAGCTCCACCACCTTCAACATAGTTGACCTAACATTATACTATGAGAAGCCAGAAGCTTCAACAAATGAGGCTGAAGCTCCCACAAACCTGAGAGACTGGCGTGGAAGCATCTCCCGCAATATCGCAAATGTGAAGTGCAATCACATCCCGAACGCAAGAAGTCCCGCGTAAGCAGTGAAAAGTTGCTCTGTCTTAGACCGAACCAATCTAGGTTCTTTCCCTTCGGAGTAGTTGGTCGGTTTGCATTGGCCACTTCAAGTTATCCTCTTATTATATAAGTATTTTAGTATGAGTCTAGAGTTAATTTTTTTGTGTGTTTTGTATCGTGACAGTCGATGTCTCTTCTTCCCTTTGAGGGTTGTATTTGAGGGATTGGGTGGTGCTCTGGTTGTATCTCTATCATGAGATGGTGATAATCTTCCCATCCCCTGTGCATCCTCTCACATCGTTCTTGGCCACTGCTTCCCTGCTACAGCTGCCAAAAACAGCCTCTTTTGGTTGTTTTCTGCAATTCCAGCATTATAGCCACTCTTACCATCCCCATTGCCACCCCACACAACTGTCTCCATCCTTTCCCAACCTTCCCGTATCACTCTCAGTCGTCGATCCTCGCTGCTACCATCCGGAAAACAGCAAATATATTGTTTTCCTGCAATACAACCATCACTCCGACTTGTTGCCGCCAGGCTTGCAGCCTACCCTATTGTCCCTACAGTACCTGCTTGCTACCCCCACACCAGTCAGTACTCCCCTTGTTGTCCTGCAGTCCACATTCATTCTCCTTTGTTGCACCTCGTTGTCCCAGTCATCCACTTTGCTTCCAACACAATTCTAACCCCACCTTTTGCTGTCCCAACGAGCCAAAAAACCCATTTCAACCACCTCTGACCACTCCCCGACCACCTAGCCGACCTCCACCACCCCGAGATTGAGCCCTAGTGTGAGTTCGTGTCGTGTTTGTTGTAATTTCCGCTTCAAGTGTGTTTGATTGAACTGACTATTTTCTTTCAGTAATAATATTTGTTTTTCTATTGTGGTTTAAGTTAACTCCGTTATCACTTTCGTTCTCCAAACCTAAGTTCTGTAGCATGTATCAAATTGTAGCTAATATAAGGTTCCAAAACCAAAAGTCCATGTATTAATTTTATAGTTTCAAAATTGCATTAAGACTTTCTGTACAATCCCTACTCCTTAATCTGAGATCATGAAGAATAAAAAAAAAACAATATTTCTCCATTAATTTTAGGATCAAATATACCATTGTGGACAATTGTAGAAAGGTTAAAGGTCCCGAGTGCTTTAATCATAAATATGAAGAATCCGTGTAAAACATCTAACATATCAAGACTTAAATGGCAGGTGTTTGGAAACACCATGTATAAATAAGTCTTGAGAATACCTTGTCGAGAGATGCATGCACCTGCTGAAGGGAGCTTGCATCATGGTTGTGACCTTTGACAAAACTCAAAGCTGCAGTAAACTTTTTCTTATCCCTCTTCAGAAAATCATGAAAGGTGAAAATTGAACTTTCCACTATACTCAAGAGCTCATGGGCAAGAACAGGTGGGTCTAGATCTTCATTGCCCTTTGCTTTGTGAACAGAACCTGCATGATCCATCGTAACAAAGGATGCTAATGAATATAAGAAAATCTCCTATTTATGCAGACAAAAAATCAATTTGATTATTGGAAAATTTACATAAGTAGCACACAATTCTTATGCATTTACATATCTCACACCTACACTTTCACATTTATATATAAAGGACTTTGGTACTTCAAACCTATACATGAAAAGGTATATTTCACTTTAAAATAGTAATAATGCTATTTTTGTTGTGATATTAAGGATTCCAGTACAATGCGTAAAAATGAAAGTTTAGTTGCGAGATTGGTAAACGCATAAGAATTGTGTGTTATGTATGTAAATACCCCTTCATTATTTCGCAGCCAGACTCAAAAGAAGCACAATATATCACTTCAATGACGATATATAGATACTAAATAGTGCATGAAAGTGGTTTTCATTGGAGAAAAAATGACAATACAATGCGCATGGCTAAAGGAAACTAGCGTTGAACAAAACAAAACAAAAAAGAGAAAAACAAAGGAGCAAGCACACCATTGCAAAAACCACTCAACAACCATATGTTTTTAACAAAAAAATCTGCATTCAAAAAGTATCACCACCATTCCTTTTGTACTCAAAACAGTAAGAAGAAAAGAAAGATCAAAACAATCTCAAGAAGTAGCTATGAATTTAAGAGAGAACAAAGAATAGTAATAGACTGGAAATAATAAGATGGAAATAAAGTATAAAGATAAAAGCCGAAGAAGTTTTCTCTCACTCTGCAAGAATTCCATTGAAGTTCAAGAACTTGCATTAAATGTTGAGTAAATGCCCAAGTATGGCGGAAGAGAAATCACAAGGCATGGTCATTGAAGCACTTCTCTATGGCAAACAAACCTATCTTTTGTTATTTGAGCTTGGAGTAGACCCATACTTGCTGGAAACCATTCTTTATATTGGAGCATCATAAATAGATCCTAATGCTGAAACTCTGCATTAAAGGTTGTACCACTACTTATTTTGCATGGTGAAAATTTCGTGTTCTTTTTAACATCACAGCATTGTCGTAAAGTAGAGTCATTTTCTCCACAAGTTCGATCTGGTTAAGAAATTGGAAGATTTACATACATACCACTTAATTCTTATGCATTTACATATCTAATGCCAATACTATAATTTTTGCATATATGCCACCTTACACGTGCATGAAAAGGTGTATTTCCCTTTTTAAAAGTAAAAATAGTTGTATTTTATTCTTAATAAGAAAATTTTGGGTAGCATCAAGAACAGTTTAGGAGTTAGATATGTAAATACAAAGGACTTCGGTGGAATGAATGTAAATTTCCCTAAGAAATTTAATATAAAAATATTGAATGGGCACTCTCTTTTGAAGCGTTGAACATTTAGTTGTATTCAAACTCAAGCTTTCTGAAAACTTTGTTCCACTATTTTAGTGATCGGAGGCCAGGCATTAAATCATGTTTCCAAGAGTGGGTCTGTCCGTCCATTTGTTGATGATATGTTGCTGAAAACAGAGATCAATTTGAAAACGTTTCCACAACTCACACTAAAGACAATTGACAAATTTGGCAGCTCGATCAGACAAAATACAATAAGAAAGTTTGTTAAGGATAATAAATTCTCTAAAAGCTAAATGGGCTACATTCATTATTTCAAAGATTTTTTACCAGCAATCAAATGTGACATCTTGGAAAAACAATTGACAACCACCATGAAAAGCCAAAGTCACGCTTAGTTACACACCTGAAACAAAATAAAGACTCCAATCCACCCAGACTAGATTAGGGGTGTAACTGAACCAAGTAGACTCAACCTTGGCTCGATAACTGGCTCATGAGCTGATCTTGATAAGCCAACAAGCCAAGCTGAAGCCAACCCCAACTCAACTCGTTAGCTCGTGAGCCAACTCGTTTAAAAAAATATTAAAATAAAAAATACTCAAAATATGTTAAAATTCAAGTTTTTATCTTTAATTCATTAAAAATACTTAAAAAATGTTATGTTCAAGTGTTATCCCATAATTTATTTCCTAATTTCTTATCCTATTTATCATTTTATTATGACACTAAATTGAATAAATAAGGTTTATCTCTGCTATAATGAACTCAAGCTCGAACTTCATTAGTTAATTAAGCTCAAGCTCAAGTCATGGATGGCTCAGCCTCAAGCCAAAGATGGCACAATCTCAAGTCGAGGATGGCTTAAGCTTGACTCTTCTCATTTACACCCCTAGATGGAATGGAGATGTTCCCCTGCAAGCTTGGCACACAGAGCATCATTCTACAAACAGGCCAACATCATGCCACAACTTAAGCCTTTTGCTAAAACCTACATGAGCAGCTAGACCTCCCACATGCAAATATTTATTAATTGTTCACGAAGGGAAGTGTTAAGGCTACATAATTGGTTTCCCTTACACAAAAAGCCTTTATGAATGGTATCTCCATGTGATTTTTCGTCAAGAAAATGCGAAATGATTCAACAAAATCAACATCAGAGTATAGATCTTTGAGAAATTTAAGACCAGTAATATAAGTCTGAACGGTGACAAGAAGGCAAGCACAATGGTTAAGGGCACCATCAACACAATTAAGAGACCTGATCTTGTGCTTAAAGACATAAATGGACCTCTGAGGAACATAGCGCAAAAGCATGAGTCCTCTTATATATGATTTGTTGCATTTATATATGATTCTATATACATGTATGAGTGAAAGTATGTATGTTGGACTAAAACTTTTTCTTTCAAGTTTGAAAATTGATTGAGATTGAATTTATTTTTTACTTGAATCAAACTCATATTGATAAGTAACGCATAACAAGAAATAAGCCAAACTATAAGTGAATTTCACTACAGTGACTTTTAGCTGATCTTGAACTATCTCGAGATTTGATAATTAAAAACTCTGTAGGTCATGAATCATAGTCACATGCCCCTTGTTAATGGGTGCACTAATTGCACAGAAAACTGTGATATGTCGAGATTGACATGGAAATTTCCAGAAGATTACTTAAAACAAAATTTTACAATTGTCCATGAAGATAATAAGTGGATCAAATGGCATTGATTAAGACTACAATATCGACAAATCATGCAAAACTTCCATAAAATTCCATGAGCAAACCATTGTCCCAAAGATTCCTTCGGAGAAGAGATCAAATTTAACGAAATATGTCACGACTCGATAAAAACATATGCCTAAAGTTAGCTCATCCTGGTTAGGAATATCATCGAGGCAAGAAGAACAATCAATTTAATCACAGCAACAAATGATTGACGCTTCCCCAAATAGATGAAAAGGAGAATAAAGATTATCATCTGCATTAAATCATTGATCATATACATTATTGAATCTTAAGGAATGTAAAAACTTGATTTCTGAAAACTTGTTCAAACAACAAGATTTATCAACCAATTAAAATCTAAAGCCTTCTTTCCAAATTGTTCAAGAAAAGAAATTAAATAATATGATCAAAACTAAATGAAAAATTTGTCAAAAACTAGGCAATTTATAGAAGAGGTGATATATGAAGTCGTTTCACTAGATGTTTTGCATAATCTTATGAACTATAAATCAATGAGACATAAACGTTGTCTATTATTAAAGGCAACATTAAGTTATAAAGGATGTATAAAAACATGTTATATGCATGTTCATTGCAGCAACACCAAAGAATCTAGAGACCTAATAAAAAAAGAAAGAGGCATTTACATACATAACACCCAATTCCTACTTTAATTTTACATTTATAGCATTATCACCTAAATCTTTCACATAACATCAAAAATACCAGCATTTTAACTTTTAAAAAGTGAAATACAACTTTTCGTGCATAGGGAAGGTGGCATATATGTAAAAACTGATGCTTAGGAATTGAGTGGTACATACGCAAGTCTTCCAAAAAGAAAATTGGTTAATGCACACAGAGGATTCACATATCTCCTTTGGGGAAGACTGCAATATCACCGTGTGCTACAACCACAACTCCTTCCAACGGATAAAAGGAGTATGATAGGAGAAAGTATCAGTGTATCACTACTAGAAGGAGAAGAAGGATGTTTGGAGAATGACGACAAAAGAAAGCAACCCGAAAAAAAAATTTAAAAAAAAAAAACTTAAAAGGCCTGTGACAGAAACGGGAAAGCGACCCGCTAGCGATCCAATCGGTCCAGGTGAATCCCGGAGCGAGCAGCCCGGGCGAGGCTTTTGACGGGGTGAACAGCCTCCTACGCCCCCACCTCCATTCTTTTATGTTCCTCCTTCGTATGGGAAGATTTTGATGGCTATCTCAGTACTTTCTTGCCTCACAACTCTTTACTTTTATGTAGGAGTTCCATTTTCTTCTACTTCCCTTTTCTCCTCCAATAGGAGTATATATATTACAGTTTCAGAGATTTAGAGGGAGTTCTTGTTGTGTATTACTTTCAGATTCATGTGTAAAGTTTTTTTTCCCTTTATGGGTTGTATCTGGGGAGGTGGTGGTGCTTTGGTTTTATCCTACTTTGAGATGGTGATTGTAACTTCTCTTTTATTTTCCCTCCCCCTCCCCCTCCCCCTCCCCCTTAGCCGTCGGCCACCTCAACCCTTTCCAACCGCCTCCAGCCCACTTTGCAACCTCCAAATCTGTTGTCCAGCCCCTCCAAACCGGTTTTCCGGCACCGCAGCCCCCTGTCGTGCAGCCAAATCTGTCGCCCAACACTCCATCTTTGTTGCCGCCACCTCCTCTAGCCATCCCGATCCACCTAGCCAACCCCTACCGCCCTTGGGACGCACTTTCGAGGTGTTTGTTTCGTCATTTTGTGTTTGGGTGATGTTATTTTTAGTTTGTGTGTTGTAACCATATTTCCCTATGAACAAAAATTGCTTTTGTGGTTTGGGCATCCTTTCTCCGTTATCAGCCTGCTCATAACAAACATGTCCAAAAGAAACACAACCAAAATAAGCACCATCAACCAAAATGTAAAACAAGCAAAGAGGCAAATTCCTTGTTCAGCAAAAATTAAGCTTTTCCAAGAAAGAAAAGGACATGAAAACAAATTATCAATGACACAAAAGTCGATTATCAAACTCAAAATTTAAGATTAAAAAAAAAAACAACTATAAGTTAATCAGGATGTTCAAAAATAAGAAACAAATTATTTTTTTTCCAGCAAATAAGAACAAATTGAGCCCCCGATCACAGGTTGTATTCATCTCTCTTTGCCCCATTCCTCTCTCGCACTCCACTGAGAAGTAAAAGCATCCAAATCAAGCCTACAAGCAAACTCAAGGTCAACCCAATGTGATATTTAAACTCATATATCTATATCACCTCCCTTTTGATTCAATCTATTTTGCTTTAGTTTTATTGAACCCTTAATTAAATCTTGAATGCTAAAGAACCAAAGAAAAAAAATATAACATAATCACCAACCAATATACATCGAGTAAATTAGTTTTCTTATAGTACAGCCTAAATATCATTAGATTTAGATCAAACAATTAAGAGAGCTATAACATGCACCCCATTAAGTACAAATCAAAGTAGATGCAATTGTATAGCATGCCATATAAAACCAAAAACAAAAGGATTTGCAATATAACAATGTAGTAAAAATAGAGCACAAGAGCTACAACAAATCTTGCCAGGCGTATTCACAAGGCACAACACTTAGCTAACCAGACAGTTAAATAGAAGATGATAACCATAAAAGAAGTAATTTCACCAATGTCATAAGCTAAGAAAAAATTAGTTGAGGCATTTACATACATAGCACGCAATTGTTATGTATTTACATATCTCACACCTAAACTTTCAATTATACACACATAGCACTCAAATTTTTAATATCACATCAAAAATAGCATTATTACCACTTTTTAGAAGTGAAACAAACATTTTTATGCATATGTTTAAACCACCAAGGCGTTATGTGTATAAATATGAATGTTTTGGTGTTAGATTGATAAATACATAAGAATTATGTGCTCTGTATGTAAATTTCCCAAATTAATTTAATAGAGGATAGCACATCAATGCACATGCCTTCGATTTTAGGAACCTGAAGCAATTTGGACAAGGTAGATCGAGTTCGGCAATAAATATCCCCCCTCAAACCACGCTCGAAGGGTTCATTTTCGATAAACCTCAGAAGAAGAACCTGATATTGTTGAAACTCCTGAGCGGAATGACCATACGGTGTTGGATTATCTGGCTGAGACGAGACCCGTAAGTTCAGTTGAGTATACTGGCAATGAAGCACCTCCCATGACAAACAGATCTGGGCAACATAAGAAATTTCGAGACTTTGGAGTGGATCATCATCCAACGGTGAGCGAAGTTGTTCACAATCATCTTGAAACTCATCCCGATTTTTGAAAGAGAAGCTTTTAAGGTTCAAAGATAGCTTTTTGCGTGCAGATCTATGTGATTGATTTGAGAAGTTCCATGATTCTGCATAGAATGTTGTTCATTAATATAATAAATTCTCTACAACAGCAACAATAATAACAAATATTTATCCCACTAAGTGGGGTCGGCAACATGAATCCTTTTTCTCTATTGTGCCCTATTGAGTGTCATATTTTTATTTAATTCTAATAAATTAATATCATTTTTTAATACAACTGGCTGAAGTTCTTTTAGGACTACTTCTAACTTTCTTAACATATGTCAAATATAAAACAATACTCTCCCAAATGGGTCATCAAATGGTCGATGTTTAATGTGACCAAACCATCTAAGGTTACTCTCTCTAATAAATTCCATGTAGAAAATAAATCATACTAAATAAACAAATGGAGCATATTTCCAAAGATTGTAAATTAAAAACACAGTTCAAAAAATAAACAAGAAGATCTTCAAATCTGCACCATTCATGTGATTAATGTTGATACATAAAAGATTTCCAGTTAGATGTTAAATGTTTTACAACAACTATATATCATTGGTACAAAAAAAAAAGCATATTACAAATACTTTATCCCAGCAAATGTCTCAACATGCTAAAGACATTGGCGGGGCCCGGTTTTAGGAGAAAAGG